CTATTCTCCAAAGCACCTGAGGACAAGACAACAAGTAGCAGATGGAATCTTAACGAAGAGAGATCCAATCTAGAATTAAGGAGAAATTTCCTGACAGTGAGAGCAATCAACCAGTGGAATGGCTTGCCTTCACTTGTGGGTATTGCATTACCAAAGGTTGTCAAGAAGAGACTGGACAGCTATTTTGCTAGAATGGTATAAGGTTTGAGCACGGTATTGGACCAGATTGGATTAAAGTCCCTTTCAACCATATTATTCTATGTTCTATATACTCTTGAGAAAAGCCCACTAATGCCACTCTATCCGTGCCACATGGCAGAACTCCTAGCTCCTGAGACTCAGCAGAAGTTTACAATATTGCATTCTTTGGCATTCTTAAAACCTATTGAACTAACTCTCTGTTGTTCCCAGCTGAGGGTGAGGTATGTTCCTTTGTAGGGGAAGGTAATCTGAGGGGTTTACAGGACAGTGAGTGGGTGTTTTGACTGCTAATGGGGTGAAAAATGGATCCCCCTTCCTGACAATCCTTCTTTCACACTTAATTCCTTCTCAACTCTTTGTTTTGGGATACCCAGTTGTGCTTTTGAGGTTACAAAGGCACTATCTGAAAGCAGTGTTCTTTTATCTGGGCTTCTTTTTCCAATGTACTATATCCGTGATGGCGAACCTATGGCACGCGTGCCACAGGTGGCACGCAGAACCCTCTCTGTGGGCACGTGTGCCATCACCCCAGTCCTAGGCCTTCAGCTGGGTTTTATGAAACCTTTTTGCTTTAGGCCTCCGCCATCGTGTGCAAAAAAAAAAAAAAAAGATTCAATCAATCAATTTCAAGTTCTCGCGGGAAAAAAAAAGATCTCGCAAAGTTGGAATTGATTGAACTTTTTAGTCCCACCCAGTCTGCCGTTACCACCACATCCACGCCCACCCAACGGGCTATGCTGACCCAATTGGCCATACCCACCCAATGGGCCACGCCCACCCAGCACCCGACGATACATGTGGGTTTTGGATTGCAATTTGGGCACTCAGTCTCTAAAAGGTTCACCATCGCTGTATTATATAAACTTGTCAAAAGAGATGAGATTGCAAAGGCATAATTTAAGTCTGGGATAGGCAGAATTTTGCGATGAGGGACATAGTTGAAAACTTGTGTGAAGTACCTTAATAACTTCCAGAATGACAAAATGTTGGACAACTATATATTTAGCAAATTATATCACAACAACAACAACAACATGGTTACTTGGGGGTGCTGCCTGCTCCCTGAAAGGGTCCTACTCTGGGTGCGGGTTTGGCCCATTGCAGAATTTCCATTTACTAGAAAGTATTTTAGCCTTCTCTTGGCTGCTGTAGTGGGACTTTTATTATATCACAATGCATTCTTGCAAATAAAAGTGATGCTAATTCTGCCCCCCCCCCGCTCTGCAATACAGCAGTTTATTTTATTTGTTTAATTCAACATTGTCTTTTATTTAAGGAGGGGCAAACAGCACAATTGGCACCTGGGAAAGAGCTTAAAGGTTGATTGATGCATGCATATTTATTTAGTTATAACTTTTTTTAAATGCCACTAACCATTTAAGAAAACAAACAAACCTCAAGGTGGTTTATAATTAAAGCAGTTCCATAAAGCATTCCTTTAATTTAACTCATAAGTTAAATGAATGGTGGGGCTACAGTGCCCTCAATTCCTTGCGATTGGCCACACTGGTTTGGGATGGTGGGAGATGAAGTCCAAAGCATTTGATGGGCATTGGATTGGTTACTCCCAAGTGGATCAGCACCTTGAAACCAGGCTAGAAACCAATGTAGGTGACAAGAAGGCGGAACAACTGCATCCCTCAGGCCATCACTCTGCTGAACATGTAAATCTCATAGTGCTGTCTAATGTCTATTTATCCAAAGAGTATGACTATAGTATTATTTATCCTTATTATTAGCTTTCTTACTCCTCCTCCTATTGGTGGTGGTGGTATTATTATTATTATTATTATTATTTTGTTGCTTTGCATGTGCACTGAAACCTTCTGCACTGGAGGCAAATTCCTTGTGTGTCTAATCACGTTTGGCCAAATAAAGTAATTCTATTCTATTTTATTTTCTATTCTATTTTCTATTTTCTATTTTCTATTCTATTCTATTCTATTCTATTCTATTCTATTCTATTCTATTCTATTCTATTCTATTCTATTCTATTCTATTCTATTCTATTCTATTCTATTCTATTCTACTTCACTCCACCCCACCCCAACCCAACCCATCCCAACCCCACTCTCTCCATACTCCACTCCACTCCACCCCATCCCACCCCACCCCACCCCACCCCATCCCCACTCTCTCCATATGCCACTCCACTCCATTCCATTTCACTCCATTCCATTCATTGCCCTTTTTCTTCTGGGAGGTGCATTTTGTGCTCAGGGATCTTTCTGAGCCCTTTATAAAGGTAGCATTACACAGCACTTTTTATTATAGCAGCTCATGGAATAAGAGACAAAAACTGAGAATATTCCTGTACCTTGGAGGTCACCCTCTGAAGCCCCTTCTAAGGAAAGATTAAATAGGAGAAGATGCTCAGATTGTCGTCTTACGCTTTATGGAAACTGGATGGGTTTCACAATATCTACATTTTAAACACTGGAGTAAACTTGACAAGCTTGTGCATGCTTGAATTGTGAAGACACAAATGGTAGCTACATGACTTGGATGAGCTTGTCAATGTATCTTAGAAACAACAAAACCTTTCTTGAAATCAGGAGATCAAATGATAATTTGCAAAGTATCTCTTCCTAATATGAGATTAGATGAATCTTGACAACTTTAAGACATGTGGACTTCAACCCCCCACTGTATTCCACACCCTCCTGCACCCAGGAAAAATCTGTTGGAGACTACATGGTAGGTTTTGATCAGAGCCAAAAAGGCTATGAAAACAGCAGGAAATTAATTGGCATTGTGCAAACTAAGAAGAAATGGAGTTAGGCTTTTAATCCCTTCCAAAACCCTCTTGCAACGAATGGATCAAACCTGGTTGATCTCCCTAAAAGTGGGCCTTGCACCTATGGGGAAATGCAGAAGAGGAGGATCTATTTATTCGATTCTGGCTGATCCTATAAAAGCTAAACAGGATTGTACCTGGTTAATGATTAGTGCATGGGAGGCTAAGACTTCTAGGGACTGTATACAAGAAAAGGAAGTGGAAGAAAATGGCAGAAGAGGAGGATGGAAAGATGGTTGTAGGGTTGCCAAGAAAACTTCCAGACTGTGCCGATGAAGTCATCAGAAGTCAAGCATGACTCAAAGAAAAGTCTCCCTTTTTTGCCTCTGTGCTTTGAGAAGAAGAAGAAAACAACCCCACAGGAAACCTGTTAACACAATCCTATTTTAGTCAGAAGTCTGGAAAAGAATGTATGGTTAGTTTTAGATTTATATAGATGTGTGTGCGAAACTTGCTGGTGCAGTTTAGTTTCAAAATGTCTGTTCTGAAATCTAACTACTTTCATTTTGACTATATTTGGTAACTTTATATAGCTTTATAAAAGCTCCAGAGCCACAGCCAAAGAGAATAAACTGTGCAGCTCAGGGTTGAAATGAGTGGTCCTTGGTGCTGTCTGAGCTTGGTTGCTCTCTTGCAGATATTTCATTACACAAACTAGGTCACTAGGTAATGAAATATTTGCAAGAAAACAACCAACCTCAGAGACCACCGAGGAACCCTCAAAATAAAATCATCAACCAGCTCTTTGGACAATATTTTCTAAGAATGAGTTCCTGAATTGTGTTTCTTTAAAAAAAGACTTTTTGTAAACTTTTAAGATGCCTGCACTTACTTCAGAAACAGTTTTAGAGAAGTGGATTTTTTAAAAATGAAAATGTCCATCCAAAAGTTTCCTTAGGCTGTTCCATGTAAGCATGAGTCTGTTTTGATGCCATAAAGCAGTGGTTCTCAACCTGTGGGTCGGGACCCCATTTGGGGTCAAACGACCATTTCACGGGGGTCACCAAACAACGCAGTCCGCCATTTTTTTCCCCCTTTTCCTTAGCTGTGCTACTCCCTTTTATTCTATTGGCTTTTGAATAGGAATTGTCAGGCTGTCTCTGCCCTGCTGAGCCCGCCAAAAGTCCCATTCTGCAAACGGTGCTGCACCAGTTGAGTAGTCCTCAACTTACGACCGGTTGAGTAGTCCTCAACTTACGACCGGTTGAGTAGTCCTCGACTTACGACCGGTTGGGGGTCGCGGCATTAAAAAGGTTGAGAACCACTGCCATAAAGTGTTTATTTATTTAACAAATGTATATGGTGAGTCAGAATTCCTTTTGGTAGAGTTGGGTGGTCATATCAATTGGTTTAATAAATAGGTAGATGCTTTATATGTGATGCAGAGGTTTTGAGGAGTGGTGCCAGGTTGAATTGTTCTTGCCCCAACTGAGTTTTTGAGATATCAGTTCCCACTTGAAGTTCCTACCTTTAAGTACACCATAACTGAGTAAAAAGAAAGTGAGTGATGTAGAAACATGAGTAAAGGAGACCTTGTTGATTTATGAATATACGAAGATATATGTATCTGAACTGTTAGTTTAGATGGAGACATGTGGTTTTCTGGAACCCATTGGCTAAAGTCCTTAGTTAAGCAGAAGTAAGAATTGACCCTGAATTTCTCCTGGTCTAACTCAACAGTTTGTTCACTATAAAAAAAGGGCCATTACATAAGAGAATAAGAAACATGTGCAAATATGCAGTGCAGGATCAAGAACATTCAAAAGGTTGGATGGCCCCAGCCACCATGGCTGGCTCAGGAATTCTGAGAGTTGAAGTCCACAGGCCACAAAGGGGCCACAGTTGCTCATCCCTAGCCTAGCCCCAAATTATCTGTGTCAACACTTGAACAGAACCTTGAACGTTGCTTGTGATTCCCTTTTCCCGTTTATTTAGTGGTCTGAAAAGGAGTCCTTCCCTTGAATAATAAACCATTTTCTTCTTTTCTTCTATAAATTTGCAGTCCAAGCGGGAAGAAGTTCCGAAGCAAACCCCAGTTGGCCAGATACTTGGGGAACACGGTTGACCTCAGCAGTTTCGACTTCAGGACAGGGAAGATGATGCCAAGTAAATTGCAGAAGAACAAACAGAAATTAAGGAATGATTCGCTCAGTCAAAATAAGGTTTGCTTGCAAGCATGCTTTATAAATATGTTCATTGCAAAATCTTAGAAATCAAAAAAGGGAAAGAATCATCTATTTACTGTTTTTAACAATCCCCTTGATAACTTTGCGTTGACCTTGATCAGTGATAGGAGTGTGCAGATTTTAAAGCAGTATTTGAGAGGGGTAAAATAAGTAGGTTTAAGACTGAAATACCATATGGGAAATAATTTGAAACCAGTACATGTTCCTTAAGAGCCAGTTTGTGTAGTGGTTAAGCATCAAGTTAAAAACTGGGAGACTGTGAGGCTCAGTCACTTTCTCTCACCATAGGAAGGAGGCAATGGCAAACCATTTCTGAAAACTTGCTAAGAAAACTGCAGAGATTTGTCTAAGCAGTTTCTGACAATGTGGACATGATTGAATGGAAGAAAAAAAAAGTTGTTCCTAACTGAAAAAAATGACGAGTGATGACAGGATAGCAGTCTTCCAATATCTCAGGGGCTGCCACAAAGATGAGGGGGTCAAGCTATTTTCCAAAGCACCTGAAGGCAGGACAAGAAGCAACGGATGGAACCTAATCAAGGAGAGAAGCAACCTAGAACTAAGGAGAAACTTCCTGACAGTTAGAACAATTAACCAGTGGAACAACCTGCCTCTAGGAGAGGTGAATGCCCCAACACTGGAAGTTTTTAAGAAGAGACTGGACAGCCATTTGTCCGAAATGATATAGGGTTTCCTGCCTGAGCAGGGGGTTGGACTAGATGACCTCCAAGGTCCCTTCCAACTTTATTACTATTATTATTATTACTACTACTACTACTACTACTACTACTACTACTACTACTATTATTATTATTATTATTATTTTCATGTTCAGGATCTTATTATTTTGATCAAATATTGACTTTTCATATCGACCTGGCTGGTATATCAACCTAAGGTAATACGTAATTTTTTTTCTCTCCTTCCTCTACAATACAGGGTAAACCAGATTTAAATACGACGTTGCCAATCAGACAAACAGCTTCTATTTTTAAGCAGCCTGTAACCAAAGTTACCAATCATCCTAACAATAAAGTGAAGTCTGATCCACAACGAGTGATTGAACAGCCTAGACAGGTAACGTGAGTTGGGTGCTGATAGACTTCCTTTTCTTGATGTGTTCTAGAAGATTAATGTTGAAAATTTATCATAATGTAAAACTTTATTAAGTCCATCACTTTGGCACTAATGAAAGCAAAACCCACTCTGGCAAGACCTCCTCCCCCAAACCTGTATAGTAAAAGCATTGAATTCTCCCTTCTCTCTCTGGGTCAGGTCATGCTGCCCATCAAGTGAAAAAATATTGTTATGAGAAAGCATCTCTAGGTTTGGTGTATGGCTTCTTAATCTTTGAAGTCTGCATTCCAAAACGCTCTCCCCCCCCCAAGTTTGTTGGTAAGCTGAGAAGCAATATTTGTTGCACCAGCAAAACTGTGCTTCGAAATTTGACAGGGAGACGGCACCTTCCAGAACTATCTTCCTGTGTTGTTTCTAAATCTCTAAGGTCGGATCAAATACAGGTAGTCCTTGACGTACGACCACAATGGAGCACAAAATTACTGTTCTTAAGTGAGAAATTTGTTAAGTGAGTTTTGCCCCATTTTAGGACTTTTCTTGCCACAATTCTGAAGTGAATCCCTGCAGTTGTTAAATTAGTAAAATGGCTGCCATGCGAATGTTCCCCATTGACTTTGTTTGTCAGAAGGTTGCAAAAAGCGATCACATGATCCCAGGACTCTACAATCGTCATAAATATGAACCAGTTGTCAAGCATCCAAATATAAATCACATGACTGTGGGAATGCTCCAACGGTCATTTGTGAAAACTGGCCATAAGTCACTTTTTTCAGCACCGTTGTAACTTCAAACATTCACTAAATGAAGTATTGCAAGTAGAGGACTACTTGTAACTTTTTTCAGAATAACATTCCATATTTTTAAATTTATTAAGGTTGGGTGAAACAATCAATTACTTTTCTTAGGTGATTATTTCTGTAGTATCAGAAGTGTTGGCTTGAGTTCTTTGGATGACTAGGCCATTATAAAATAGGTTTGCTTCATTTTCATGCAGAAGTTCTTAGAATTGTCCCACATTAGAATCTCAAATATTCTTCCCCAATAGGGTGTTTTTCATGCTATCAGGGAAACAATGAAAGAGACAGGTTAGCTGAAGGTTCCCAGATTGAAAATGCTGGCTAATACATTGGGAGGAATCCCAAGGAGATACCTGTCCTATTTGGATTCAGCTCATCTTTTACATTCTTGCCAAGAATGAACTGTGGTTGCAATAAGGGATGAAGCTTGGACCTTCAGTGATTTATCTTACTACACAAAGTAGTGTGTGTATCCTTATGGAATTGAATTATGGCATGCTTAATAATAATAATAATAATAGTAATAATAATAATAGTAATAATAATAGTAATAGTAATAATAATAATAATAATAATATTATTATCAAATTGACAAATTTGATAATAATAATAATAATAATAATAACAACAACAATAATAATAATAATAATAATAATAATAATAATAATAATAATAATAATAATAATAATAAAGTTGGAAGGGACCTTGGAGGTCGTCTAGTCCAACCCCCTGCTCATACAGGAAACCCTATACCATTTCAAACAAATGGCTGTCCTATCTCTTCTTAAAAACTTCCAGTGTTGGAGCATTCACTGCTTCTGGAGGCAGGTTGTTCCACTGGTTAATTGTTCTAACTGTCAGGAAGTTTCTCCTTAGTTCTAGGTTGCTTCTCTCCTTGATGAGTTTCCATCCGTTGCTTCTTGTCCTGCCTTCTGGTGCTTTGGAGAATAGTTTGATTCCCTTTTCTTTGTGGCAGCCCCTGAGATATTGGAACTCTGCTATCATGTCCCCCCTCGTCCTTCTCTTCATTAAACTAGACATACCCAATTCCAGCAACCATTCCTTATATGTTTTAGCCTCCAGGCCTTTAATCATCTTTGTTGCTCTTCTCTGTACTCTTTCTAGAGTCTTGTTTTCTTCTTCTTCTCCTCATTGGCTATTCTGCTGAAAAATTCATTTGGTTTCTTCCAACTTAATATGATGAAGAGTAATTTTGAGCTGCAAGAGGAATCCAGTTGGTTGATAGACATCCCCCCCCGCCCGAGATTCAGGTTGTTGTGGTTTTGAGGCCAACCAGATGTGGGACTGGTTCAAGCTATGCTTCTCAACCTTGGATCTCCAAATGTTGGATGTCAGAGTACCTGTAATTTTCCATTTGGAAGAATTTCATATGATAGTCTGGAAAACAAGCTCTTATCGTCAGTGCAGCCAACTAGACAAATGTTTGGATGGCTTATTGATGCCCTTAAATGCAAGGTCTGTTGTAATAGATTCATTAAGATGTGTTGAAGACTACTCCACCCACAAAAGAAGACCACTTGGCATAAACTTCTATATCATTTCATCTCACTCTTTACTAACCCTGTAAAGAGTTTAAATTGGTTTAGCAGCCAAGTGAAATAAATGATTAAAAGAAAAAAATGATACAGACTCTCTGGAAGTCATTCCGTGTAGTAAATGCCTACCTTTCTGTTTTATGTCTAAGTATTGCTCCGCACCAGGATTCAGGATGGATTTTTTACGTGTTCTAGAATTATAAAGGCATTATTACTGTAGCTATAGCTGCCGGTGCATTTGGGAAGCGTGCCGTAGCTTTTCAAACCAGTTTATGAAGAGAACATTGAACTGGGAGCCACGAGTTGGACAAAAATGTTCAAAAGGAAGCATCGTTCAGGTTAAACAGCTCTCCCTTGAATTATAAGAATATTCTGAAGAGTGAAAGGGCCTGGTTTAAATATCCATTCTTCTCCCGAAGTTCTTCCACAGCAGAGCTAAGCCTGAACTAAGCCTTGAGGGCTGGATATTCAATATTATTCAAATTATACTTTTTTGAAATGAGGCAGCTTTGTTCAGTATGAAAATGCCTTCCAAGAAGCTTTACTGAGTACTTAAAAGATGTAGGCCATATGTCTTCATCTCAGTGTGCATAACTTTTGCATACGGTAATGCAAACTTAGAAATATTTATTGGGATGTACATTGTACAAAAGGATAAGGCAACTCATTTCCCATCCAGATTGTAGTCAAATGATTTCAGTTAATTGACATCCTGCACACACTGAGATGCAGTTTGGTTCCTCTTCATGTGTTCCCATCTGGGATTGGCAGGTGGGAATGAGGACAAGAGCTTCTGATTTCCTGATGGATGTGCCCAGGGCTGCAAAAACTCCAGGGGGGGTCTTCATTTTCTTTGCATCTGGTCACCCAAGATTCTGCTTCAACTATCTTTTAATTCCATTTTAATTAATTAATCGATCTCAGACCATTTCTTGAAAGCAGTCATCAAATTTAATTTATTCTTTCAAATGAATGTGTACCACTTGGATTAACACATCTTCCTGTTTTACCACCCAACAGCACACGGCCAACAGAATCCCGAGCATTCATTTATGGTTATAGCGGTTTTGATAAAAATTGATTTACAGCTAACCTAAGTAGGAAGGGGGTGATATAATTTTCCCTGGATTTTTTTTTTTTTTTTTTTTTTTTGCGGTTGCAAGCCATTTAGAATGCAATTCAGTAAACTTTATTGAGATTAAAGGAAATAAGATGCTTAAGTTTTTAAAAAAAATAACAGCAGTCTTTCTAACCACGCTATGAGTCCATGGGGTAGAAAGCCAGAAACTGCAATTGGCTTTTGACTGCACTAACCTGCCTTGGACTATTTAAACAAATAATAGGCTTGGAGAAAAAAAAAAAAGCTAGTTTGGATGTAAATTATCAGATGAAATTGAATTAATTAAGCCTACCTGAACTTGAAAAGTTACACAGAATTGGACCTGGTTACTATCTGAATCAGTAAGAAGTACGAGTAGACCTCAGTTAGTGACTTCCTTCCATTCACCATTCACAGTTACGACAGTGATGAAAACATAGCATTATAACCAATGTTCACCTTTATGACTTTCACAGGTCTCTAAAGTGAAGGAATGCTTAAGTAAGATCATGAGCACTGTTGCCATTTCAGTTAGCTGTTACTTCACTTAATGACCTAGTTGCCAGCCCCAATTGTCGTCTTTAAATGAGGATTACCTATATCCCAGGCAAAAAATAATGAAACATTTCAAGAAAAAAAAAGGCCAACCATCTCCATACTGTGGCATGGAGTTTCCATGCAGGTGTAAACCTTGAGTCTGACTCCAATGAGATTTTATCTTAGCTAATACTTGACAATGAATTCAACAAATCCCCCTCCCCCCACCTCTTCTATACATCAGAATTACGATTTGTGGAAGCTTCTGGAGAAGCTTTAAAGTTGAAATGTGTTTGAATATTAGTAGCTCAGGTTGGTAGTTGCGCTGTTGCTTTGAGCTCCAAGCTTGGCAATTTGGTTGCAAATGTTTCATCACCATTCGAAGGGACGTCATCAGTGCGCTTTGAATTGTGCTCGTCTGTCAGAGCACTGGCCTTTAAATACCTTTTTATGTGATGCAAATTGGTATGAGTGTTATTTGTTCAAATATTTCTGAGCCATGGTCTGATTTCAGGCTGTTTGTTGTTGCTGGGCTGCAACCTTTGATGTTAAGTACCGTCTGTGTAATGCAAATTAGCGTTAGTGTTGTTTGTTTGGATGCTTCTGAGTCATGGTCTGGTTTTGGATTGTTTGGTTGGCTAGCTATTGTTACCGAGGTGTGGTCTGATTTCTTGTGAAGGGTTATGATTTCCGTTGCTGCATGGTGGGGTGCCTGTTTGTTCATTTTTAAATGCTACCTTTGGGATTGCGGTTCGAGTAGTTTTTTCACTCTCAGTGGTTGGTAGACCAGGTCGATGTTAATGTGTCTGTTTATTGAATTATTGATAGAAAACCAAGCTTCAAGATATTCTCTTTCTGTCCTTGATCTGAGCTATAACTGTGGTCTCGGTTAGATTAAATGTGTGTCCTTCTGAGTCTTTGTGAATGGACATGAGGGATAGTGGGTCATCTGAGAGCCAGGAAGTTTTAAAGTCCATTTTTAAAGTGTTGATATCCAAAGTCTTCCAAATC